CTGCCTGACGTTGGTTTTCATTCAAAGCTTCATACATTTGTTGTCCGACGCGAAGCTCTTCTTCCTTGTTGATGGTTTCTATTTGAATTGGACAAAAGATGGATGGTGGTGATATACCAAAGTCGGCAAAACTTTGTCCTTGCTCTGTCAACTTTGCTTCAATTTCTTAGAACACCATTGCTTCTGTTGTTTCAGCGTCGAAGTGGCGCATGAAGTCCTCGGCCATATTCGTTTTACATGAGTTCCAGAGATCGATGGTGTTTCTTGGACTACAGTGTACAAGGATCATACAAAAAAGTGTTAGTAGTTGTGGTGGCATTTGAAACATTGCCGCTTCAGCCAGACATCTATCATGTTCACTGTCATCACATAATAGACCTCGTCTTTTAGCAGCGTCTACAAATGTTTGACAGATTTCGTCATCTACTTTCTTCAGGTCCTCGAAGCTGCAAGCACCTGGTGTATGCAACAATAACAGGCGAAGATGGTAGCATTCTGTATATCGAGGACTGACTGAATACATCCTGCCGATGACTCTTTCGCCTTGTTGTCGACGTTTCCATTTGTTGTTTCGATCAAAAACAAAGTGATTTGGAATATCATGATAGAGATGTACTCTAGCATCTGAGTTGTCACGATTTAATTTGAACCATGCAGTCAGAGTAGTGTCTTTTGTAGCTGCTCTGTCTAACGCGTCTAGTTCATTTCCTTCAGCAAAATAGATGGGTTGCATATTCGGAAGATGAATGGCTAATCGGATAATGGAATGAGATTTGTCATGTAATGGAAATTCAAAGAGTCTCCAAACGGCTTTTGGCGCACTCACATATCTTGCGTCGAGATGCGCTTTAATTTCATCCCATTCAAGTGTTTTTGAAGACATCACTCGATCTGGAACAGATCGCTCGAGATTGATATTAGTACGATCGTGTCCCTTATAAATGCACTTAAATAGATACTTGATGCTCTTCACGGTTGCACACACCTCCACATTGATATGAACATCGTATTTCATTAGCAAGTATGGATTATACGGGACTACCCATCGATTGTCAACCTCATACTTTCCCACCTTGACAATGATTCCATCATCTCGCCTTCGATATCGTGGATAGCCATCTTTATTTAGAGCTGTCTCATTTCGAAACTCCTTTGGAAAGTCTTTGGTGCACTTTCCATCTTCCATGCAAGCCGACTTCTTATTCAGGATTCCACACGGTCCGTGAATCATATGACTCTTTACAATTTCATAAAGTCGAGGACATTGCAGAGGATCTGGTATTTCACTGGATACGATTCGATCGATGGAGCTACTATCTCTTGGCTTGTTTTCATTCGCCAAGATAATGAGCATATGGCAATGAGGCAAGCCTCGCTTTTGAAATTTAATTGCAAAGACATGAGCTACTGTTCGTCCAAATATCTGTTTTCTGATGATATCATCAATCAACTCATTTAATTTGAGTTTGAAAACCCTTGCAATAAGATCAGGTCTATCAGAAGGAGTTTGACCAGGGAAAAGCTGCTCTTCAATTTCTTTCCATCTTGGATTACAGGTGAATGTGATGAATAGGTAAGGCTTTGCATATTTTCGGACGATTGCCATTGCATCTTGATAATTTTGTTGCATTGCTCTGGGACTTCCTTGAAAACTCGATGGGAGAATAACGATTCGTCCGGGCTTTAGTCCTTGTACAGTAGCTTCATTTGCTTAGTGGTCCATCAGACCTTTATACAGCTCTACTCGAAGAACCTTCTGATTTTGTCGATGAAATGCAAGGCGGTTTTGTTCAGTCTTAACGTGGGCATCGACAATATATTGCTGAAACAACTTTCCTGCGTAGTGAATAGCACTGAAAGTTTGACGAACAGCTAATCTATAGCTGTAAAATTGAAGCATCGATACTCTTTTTCGATTCCGAGATCGATCCACTTTTTCCAATTCTGGATGCCATCCTTCATCTCCACAAGGAAACAAGATTGGGTACGTCATTGGGTCGCAGTGAGCATGAAGGATAGAAATCGTTTGAAGGTTTTGGCCACGCGGATGAACAGCCACATGCCGATATTTCGGAACATCTCCATTTTCGCCTACGAACACCGCTGCAACTTCATTCGCTCGTGGTAAATTATATCGACGCTGGTCACGCGTTCGATTATTGATATCAAAAATCATACGAACTGAAAGAGCTGCTCTTTTCTGTCTCTTGGATCGACGGATCTCCTCTTGTTCTACTTCATGCATCATCTTGAAGACGGTAGCAAACGGACTGATTCTCGTGATAATGTCCCCCAAAGTTTTCATGATTGTTTCATTACTACGACCATTTCCAACGTTTCCCATTCTTTCTTGTAAAGCCAAAGCCGAGTCCAAGATATAGAGCTGTCCGTATTGAGCCTGTTGGCCTGCTTCAGGATGAAGAGCACCAATCCGGTGATAGATCTGTCCGTGAATTCGAAAGCAGTAAGGTCCACTGCTCGTTGGTGTCGCAACCTGAGCCCCCAACGATGCAAATGCCATAGCACTATTATAATTTCGTATGTTTTCGCGGAAATTTCTCGCTTCATATCTGCTCCTTCCAAAAGAACTTTCATTTTATCTGGATACGCCAGAGGCTTAGGAAGTTCGACGGATCCATAGTGACAACACTGCTTGTATTCATCCTTTCTTCCAGACGCGATCTCATTTTTGAAGTGTAAAGCGTCACAGTGTCGACACACACTATCCATTCTGCCGAGATAACTTCCAGGAACAGCATCGTTTTCGATTGCAAGCGCAGGCAGAAAAGATCTCTGTTGTCGGTGATTGCGCTGACGTCGGGCATTGCTGGGTCGCCTTCTCTCCTTATCTTCAAGCGTTTCTTGCTGTCGTGTCAAACGCTGCCTTTGGGCATCGGCACGCAATCGTTTTGATCTGACTTCAATGCTTTCTTTCGACTGTCGTTCTCGGATCCTTCTCGATCTCCTAAGGACCTGCCCTCGACGAACAGTTGTTACATGGCTAACAGAAGGCTGTTGAGAAGTACTCAGATTTCCACATGAGTTCGTGGGGATTATTGGTCCGATATTCCCATTTTCGGTATCCATCGAATCTATCGAAGTACCATGATTTGGACTATCACTCATCATTCAGGAAAAGGAAATGACTTTCCTGCAGCAATCACCTCTATATATACCGTTCCTCTGCTGAGCTCTGATTGGTCAGTTAGCAACAACCAATCAGATTTCCATGTGCTCTTGTTCAGTCGAATCTATCTGATTCGTCGATTGAGGAGCCAATCAGACTTCGAGTCGAGTTTTCTCGCTTCCAGTCCGTGACGAAGCTAGGGATGCTACCAGGCTTTTTGTAGAGCTCAAAATTCTGTGTAAGTATGCTCACGGAACCCTAATGCTCACATGCACTATAAAGGAGAAAAATCGTTCTCAATTAACCTTTAACATTTAACTCTTGAGCTTTACGCTTTAACTTTTGACGATTTGTGTTTGTTGTTGACCTTTGACCTGAGTTCTGATTGGCTAAAAAATTGACCAATGGGAGAGGGATTGGACGTAACACTCAACATTAGTATATAGATGTTTCATCGTCACTATCTTTAATCGAAGCCAAAATATTTTTGATCATATTACTTATTTCTTTCTCAATTTCTTGGCGAGAAAGATGTTTGTGTACAACAGATTTTTTCTTTGACTGCGTACCAACATAATCTTCTTCATCCCGTACCTGTTCCTTCCTAAAAAACAACAATGTTTATGTGTATAATCAGACTGCTTCTTTTCATAATCAGAGCCATGGCCGCAAGCTGATCGTTCAACTGAAGATTTCTACAAAAGAAAAAGAATTTATTTTATTCTTATATAACATGCAGAACAGAAATCACTTTTGTTTTATCATCACCGTCGAAGACTTGATCAGAAGTTCCTTGATAAGTTAAAGATTCATTTGAACGTCGGAATTGATCTGGTGGTTGAACGAATGGCTTCTAAAGAAAGAGTTGATTTTCTTCTCATATAAAATAGGGAATGGAAATTACTTTTGTCTGGTCATCATCATCGAAGACTCTATCACTGATTCCGTGAGAAGAGAAATATTCATTTGAGCGATGGATATGATGTAATGGTTCATTCAACTGCTTCAAAAAGGAAAAGAATTTATTTCATCGTTATATGAGGTGAAAAATGCAAATTACTTTTGTTGTATCATCACGATCGAACAGTTGATCACAAGTTCCTTGAGAAGATATATAAGCATTGGAAGGACGGCATTGATCAAATGGTGCAACCAATTGTTTCTGAAAAAAAGAACTAGTTTTATTGGTATATGAAATGGAGAATTAGGAATTACATGTCCTATACTGAAAAAAAGGTTCCACACGGAACTTAATTTGCAACGAAATCGAAACCTTCTTAGAGATTTCGTATGGACCTAAGTTGCTTCCAAAAGACTTATAGAGAGTCTAGAATACTTTTTTAAAGGTTTCGATGAAAATCTGCGAAACCTTTAAAAGGTTTAGATTTCGTTGCAAATCTCGAAACTATTTTTAAGTTCCGTAGCACGTACGAAACCATTTTTGGCCCTTTTTGGTTCCGCATGGAACCTTTTTTTTCGGTGTAGGTGCTGGTCATTCGACACTTTAGTAAGTTGTTTTGTTTTGGTTATGGTATATGTGTTGTGTGATAGTAGTCTATAGGATAAACAATTTGATCATGATAATATTGTCGATAAGGCTCTTCCACGTGTGAATTTAACAAGTGATGAGTTTTGTGGAAGATCTAAATTTGAGGAGAATGTTATTTTAAGAATGTTAGTCGAACGAGGAGGTTACCTGTAGGTAGGTGTTTAGGTGACATGTGTTGTTCAATGTGAATGGACATGCCAGGTCTGTAAGATATGTAGGATTCGATGTAAAAAGTAAAAGCTTTTAAGGATACATGCCTCTGTGCTAAAGAATTTTGTTCGTCTGGACGATTATATTCGTTTGTATCAGTCATGGTTGTATATTCAGTTTGAAGATTTAAGGATAAGCAGAAATACGATATACAAATGTTTATTGTTTCTGTAACAGATATGAAAAAATGGTAGAAAGAAAGTGGGTATTTTGGGATAACTTATAGATTATTGCTCATTTCATTGGATGGAAAGGAAACCAAGAAGTTTGCTTGCTTGCTACCTCTCCAACTGTTGTTCTTAGTTTACAAAAACATGTCGTATTTTTATCGCAGTGCATTTCATGAAAAAACAATTTCAAACTGTATGATATTGTGATTGAAAATAATTCAGTTGATATATTATACCTTAATGAGGCCTCACTTGTATAATATTATTGGTTGGCACTTCGCACGAATAGAATACATGCGAGAAAGAAAACGCATAATTTCACAGAAGTATTGTGCATCAGCATTAACCCTGGAATTTATTATTTATGGTTTTATTGTAGAAAATATTGAAAAAAAGTCGGTTTCGCCAGCAGTTCAAATATTGTCTTTAAAATCGTTTTGTTTCCAAATAGACTGATTTCTGGTGCAGAGTTCCTTCTCTATATCAATATATGATGAATATTGTTTTGTTTAGTTTTTGAAAAGTAGACAAGCAGCCTGTTATAAAAATGTTCGCATGAAACATTATACCAAATAGACTAACATAAATGTTGGCTATTTTCAAATATCACACAGCATCAATTAAGAGATATCTACAGATGAATTATTCACATGCTATAAAATTGTATTCGTACCTCAAATAAAATTTTCACTTTAAATATTGTAATCTCGCTGATGCTTAATATATTCATTTACATAACAGTGATAGAAAGTCATTGTTCCACACAAATTTTAACAATTCTCGTTGAAAGAGTAGGTCAGTTGGTCAATTAATTGATAATATGAAATAACATTAATTTTTAACAACTGTTCGTTGTTTTGTAAGGTAGTATAGATAGCGAAATTAATTCTCCACACGAGGCATTTTCTTTTATTATACAAAGTATGTATAGAAAAGAGGAAATTTTCAAATGGAATTTTCAAAAAGAAAAAAAACGAAAATATTTCGTACAATCACATGAAAAAACAAAGTAAGGCAGGAAATTATACTCCACAGTTAAATATATTCGATAAAGAAAGCTGATGTATATAGACTAATGAACAGTTTAAAATCATCATGTCATGAAAATTGTTCTTAAATATTTAATTCAATATGTTGACGCTTTCTTGACTCTATACATCTGATAGTTCCTCAGTTTCATTCCCTAATGATTTACCAACGCTAGACGCCTAAAAATAATATAAATAGATAATGTTTCATCGATAAAAAGAAAGAGTCTTACCGTCACCTGCGTCCATGGATAAAGAGTATTAATCTGTGGTTGAATATTGGACTTTTTTGCTAGATGAAGATTATCAGGATAAATCTTAGTATGGAAACAATTTCTCAAATGAAAAATAATACAGTAAAATATGTTTGAATACGGCCAAGTTATGGATCGTAAGGTTGATTTTATCTTAGTGAAGTGTGCAAATAATTGTTCACATATTTGAGTATTTTGGTTATCAAAGTAAGGTTTGTTTTTTTGGTACTCACAAGAAAGAATAGTTTTACACTCTGGTCGTACATGATTACGTCAATGGAAACGATCGATACAATAGTTTTTGTGCATGAGCTCATTAACATATGGTGATGATTGAATAGACAGACCATATTGATTTCTTAAGTAAGCAATGAAAGTGCAAGTATAGTCATAGGCTGCAGCCGGTGGTAATTTTCCGCCCAGGTGAAGTATTTTCAGTAGTTGGTAAATCCATCGACGCATACCTTCAGATCGGACACTTTCACCCCAACCAATGATAACATTACAATTAGAAACAATAGCCATGAATCCTGCTGTTCGTCGTTTATGTTCTCTATCATCATTATCACGATGAACAGTACATATATCATTGTCATCAAACTCTTCGACAAGTTGATCAAGTTCAAATGCCTTTTTGATATTCAGATTTTGTGGCATATTCAGTTCCAAACCATATTTATAATGAAGTTCACAGTATTGCTTACATTTGTCTTGTTCTGTACCTCAAAAAGGTAGAAAGGATGATGAGAAATAATTAAAAAAATAAAAACAAAACTTTACTAGTCATATTTTTCAACAGAGCTGAAGAAGATCGAAATGGCATACGAGGACAACCCACAGCAGCCGCACCAAGCTCGAGTATTGATTCATCACAGGAGCCAGTATATGCACATACCAATCGGTGAGCTTTCATATGCGTGTCAAAAACAAAACTGAGCATACATTTATCTTTTAGTTGGCATTGACAAGTTTTACTTGATTGTGTTAAGGTCAGAATTTAACAAATAATTCGTAAAAGAATGTTGTATTCACTTCATAATATAAATCATGTGATACCCGTTGAATAACATCTGGAATTTGTATTATAGTCAGATCTGTCATGAAAAGTAGATAACGACATATTTCAAACCAAGTCTATGTCTACAGACAAAATGAGCATAAAGTAATAGATAAAACTATTTAATGATTGATGCATACTACTGAAAAAAAATTGGCATTCAATTTGTTCCTTACTACAGATTCACCATTGGAATTTCGATTTTAATCAATATTCGAATTCGTTGCATTTGAATAAGACTGGAAACTTGTCGCAGCTTCGTAAAATAGATTTGTGAATGCAACTAATAATTGACATTCATACATCACATCATCAAATAAATGTAAAAACTTTTGGTTGAAAATCGCATCAGGTGTTACAAATCGTTCTCGCGTCCGACGATTACGTACATGACCGTACTTGTAAATAAGATCACAACATTCATTTTTATATATGACACATGAATAAACATTCTCACGTATAAGAATACTACTAATTTCATCAAATTTTGGTTCATCTAATCGATTGTGACATACAAAGCATGTCGTCCAAGTTGGAACCAACTGATGAATCAGTAAACGATGAGGCTGAAGTTTGAACCTAAGTTGTAACTTTGCAATTGTTGATACTAAACGTTCATGCTCATTACTAAGTAATATTTGTTCAACTAATTCTGGTATCCGATTAATAGACATAATTTTTGGCCAAATATCGGGCTTATAATCAGTACTAATGGTCTCATTGATAATAGCCAGAATGGTTTGTTCTCGTTTCATAGAATCATCGACAACATTCATTGGATAGAGCCGAATAAGACGTAAGAATAAAGCAACATGTGAAGGTGGAACATGTTGAAAAAGATCCAGTAAAAAATCTGCATCGGATTTTGATATATTCATTTGAATAAGCAAAAGTGATATACAGTCTAGAACATATATTTATCATATTTGATATTGAAACCAAATTAAATGCTTAAGATTAAGTTCATTTTATGAAACTGTAGCGTCTTCTCTTGTTTATTTTTCATAAAAGGAGAACAAAGAGAAAAAAAATATATACAAAACCGATTTCAAAAAGTAGTAAATAACATTGTACTCAACAAATGATCCAAGTAATGTCATAGTAGCAACTATCTGAATTAAATTTCACTAACACTGAGAGAACAAAAAATATAAATGGTTGAAGACCACTGCAGTAATGTCCACCGTGTTCTTCGTACAAATCAAAGGAAGAAAAATGTAAAATTCTATATACAATTAAAAATATACATACATAGATAGAAAAAAAAATGAATAGACATTATTGGGTTTAAACAACGCCTATGCAATAAGAATAAGCATCAGCCATATCAAAACAAAAAGTAAAATATGAACTAGAAATAAGTATAAATATGCAGAGAGTACTCCTACGTTTTAGCATAATCTTGGTTAATAATCTTCATCAGCAAATCGCTTTGGTTTTCGTTGTCGTTTTGGTGGTGATTCATCACTTGATTCTTTTTGTCGTTTAGCACCAAGTCGTCTTAATTCTTTATTTGTTCGTTGAGAAGCAGTTAACTTGGGTCGTGGTCGATCAAATGAATCATTAACTAAATCAAGAAAAAAAGTAATACACAAAAAACCAGAAATACTGGATAAAAGATTATCTTACCATCATCATGTGATACTGAATTTACAGTTACCATAGTTACACTCATGTTGGCATCAGGACAAAAGATTTTGTTTTAATAATATATACTAATATGTCCTTCTTTTAGTTTATCATACCAATGACGATTCAATAGCCAATTATGATGTGCTGTGTTAAACATATTATTTATAAACGAAGTTGATATGGATGAATTTCTACCATTAAAAACTTTATCAGCATAATAATCCAATGTAATATCTACTTTCTCTCGAAGTTTTACTTCAAATTCTGCTGCATTAGATGCAGATCGGGAAACTGGAAATAGTTTTAAATAGCCGATTTCGGATTTAACTGTTTTTTTGGTTGGACTAGTCGACAAAATAAATCATCAATTTGCTTGATAAATTCATGTTCTTGCAAATATTTAATTACTAAATTCTTGTTTCAGCACTGTTATATAATCGAGTAACATCTGTTTTCATGAATGTAACGAATGATTTGAGCATAAGTCTTTTTGATAATGTAATAATGTCTCATATAGATAAAAGAAAATTAGGCGATACCATATGTAGGATTATTAAGACTTACCACATGCTTTTGCTGGAAGAATATTATTTTCCTTTGAAGTTTCTTGTGAATGCTCGAATGTGTTATTACACTCAGGTGTCATTGTTTCATAAGTTGACGATGTTTGAAAGTTTGAATCATAATCTAATCAAGAATGAGATGCATATACTCATAAAACTCCCCAGTTGTCTCACCAGCTTCCATATATTCACAATCAGTATTTTGATTTTCTCTTTCAGAAACATATTCAGTGACGATTGACGATGATAACGAAGAAAATCGTTCCTAGGAAATATAATTATCTGTTTTTATAAACGTTATTCAAAGCAAAAACCTTGTGTGGGTGCTGTTGAAAACATAAGCTATGACCGATAACATTGATCATCATAGAATCAGTCGTTGGATCATCATATTCAATTGAACTGGAAGCGAATAAAAGTGAAAATGATATATATTATATAATCTATATATAAATTCCACATACAATTAGTAGTTTTATTATTATTTGTTTCAATGTTGCCAGGCTTTTCATACAACAATGCACCATCAGATGCAGTTTGTGCCAAGTGATTAATAGTCACTGATGACTTGTCTGGAATAATAAAAGAAAAATAAACAACAAAATATATGAAAACGTACGATGTTGCTGATCATTATCTAGCCATTGCCAAATAGATGTTACATCTTTTTGTGTATACGTAATATTATTTCTGTCATTTTCTAGAACTGAAAGGAGAGTATTAGACTTCTTGTTTTGAATGATATTCAAATGTCTTACTCGCTTTAATTTTTTCCATAACGAATACACAATCATCAATATTGTTGTTATCAATATTTGATATTATAAAAGTAGCATTAGCTGTAATAGAAATACGACCAAACCGATTAATGGAAGTATAGTTAGGAATATAATGATGCTTACTTTCTTCAGTTGATATAAATTGCTTTTGTAATGTGTTCGTTTGATCATATTCATTCGGAGAAATATCAATAAAGATAACAGAAGATAGTTGTTTTCTTTGTAATTGGTTACAATCATCAGTGAGAGGTATAGACATTTCGACTGCTTCAGGCACCTTTCGAGCCATATAATGATTATATATCGCTGAAGATTCAGTATTATTCAATAAAGCAAACTTTTGATCGGTTGCTCGAATACACAATCTGTTTAATTGCTTCATAATGTCATCATCACTATTGAAATGAATAATATGTTCAGGTGCTAATGAAAATGTATTTGATTTAAAGTCAATACCAATTTGACCACATTGCAAACCAGGTTTTAGAATATATTCAGCAACAGGATCGTTGGCATCACCTAAACGGTGAATAATTGAAATGTAATCACTTAAATGTAAATTAATATGATTGATTGCTGATTTTTCAATTTTTGCCGATAGTTTCGGTGTAGGCAATAGATATTGCTGCCATATTTGTTCATAATCAGTAATATTTAAGTTTAATTTAGCCAATGCTTTAGTTGATACATTATTATTTTTTATGTGACTAGGTGGAAGCATGGCATAACTTTTGTGAGCTCCTTTAATAAATCGTACTTTATCGAAAGATTGATATATCAAATCATTAGTAATCAAATATTCAATTATCATCATTAGTCGTTCTTTTTTATTATGAAATTCTCGATAATAGATAAATGTTGACGCTGAGAAAAAGATGAATTTGGATGAGATAATAATGGACGCATCGGCATATACAAAATTATAGTTGTCAACATTTTCTTGTATGCTACGATTTCTACAAGAATACAATTAAAATGAAAAAAATAATATGTTTTAATTACTTTGTAGATAGATGAAATGTTAACGGCGAAGAATTGAACTTCTCTTGAATAGATGACAGATCAAACAGTTGTCGAGATACTTGATCAACATGAGCAAAAAATAAATCACCCATAACAGCCGTATCTTTTTCGATAATCAGAATTTTGGTGCCATCATGTTTACGTAAATTTGATGGAAACTTTTTCTCGATCACATTCTTGACAGCTTCAATAAAATTATCCGAAACGCGATATGGTGATTTGACAACTTCTGATATTTCAATAAATGGGTATACAGAATCGTCCCATAAAATATCCATAATTGACCGAAATCGAGCAAAATTACACATGAAACTAAAGAAAAAAAAAATATTTAGTTTAAGTAAAAGAAAAAAGTCACCGAGGAATTTTCGTCGAATTTTTGAAGTTGATAATGGCTTCATGTTCTTGTTTTTCTGTTAGTGTTGCCTCTTGCCATTGATTGTAAACTCGATTAAACATATAATAAAAAGTACTTTTGCTTCGTTCAGATGTGGCATCGACTTCAAGTTCTTCAAGTTCAATTTCAGTTTGTGATGATGAATAACAATATTGACGATTATCCATAGGTCGCAATCGTTTCCATTTTTCTTCAATGTCGGAATTGAACATATCTTGAATAAACAGAAATAATAAAATCGAAAAAAAATCTGGTTTACTTGTTTGTTTTCGCTCGGATATATCATATACATTTTGTCGTGCCACATATTCAACTCTTCCAAGTAATATGGAAACTGTATAGACATGTTGAAGAGATGGAACCATATTAGAAATGACATCACTTGAACCAGAATTGGTTTTGATAGCTTTCATTATAGGACATGGATAATGGGTAAATCGATTATGAGCACTACTAATACCGTTACCTCTACATATATTTATTCATACTAAAAAAATACAAATTTTCATAAAGTTTGCTTACTCGTAGTGTTGTTGAGATACACGAGCATAAGGATCACCTACGCTTGCACCAATAATAGAAGCACGGCATCCCTCTGGAATATTGTATGATGTGGATAGGGTTGATCGATTTTGATGCTTAGTACCATCGAACATTTGAATAAGCATATTCACATTTTCGGCAAAACGTGGGTCGTTAAATTGATTACCATATACACCCAAATTAGACAGTAATGTATCGCGCTCCGTGGAACACAATAAACGATTACCATAAATCAGACTTCGATATATATGCAGTGCATTTGCCTATAATAGAAAAATGCATAAAATACAATATGCAAATACAAATATACAATTGACATTTATCTTACATTTGAAATAATGAATGGCTGCTCAAATGATAAACCATTTTTATTGTTCGGATATTGGATGTATTCTTGATTAATATCCATTTGTGCTAAGGTTCGCCCTAGAGCATCCATATGAGGTGTCAGAGCTGATGATTTACCACTACCTAAAATGTTAGTACATTCTAGTATCAAGAAAATAAGATTTCTTTAAGAAAATAACCTGATGTTCCGATAACATGTCCAAACATATTTGTACCATCTGGATTTCCATTATTAACATAATGATAATAACAAGAATTATTATTGATAGCAGATAGATAATGTAGCAATATATACAGATTGAGACCTCGGTCAACATTCGAATCTATTGACCATGACATCAACGTACTCTTTTCAAATGATGTTAATTCTGATAATTGCTCGCATGGATCAAAACTTTCCTCGTCCGTACATAAATGGGAACGAGTTTGTGCATGCATTAATAAGAAATCACGTAGTATTGGCTTCTGTGGACGCGATAACATATTCAGAAAAATCAAATTGAAATACAAATATCCATTTAAAGGCAGAAATAATTATTGATAATACCAACACCAAATTGAGAGAATTCAAATATCTTTAATATGATGAAAGACTTCAGTTAACGACGAAAAACATCGGCATTGACGATAATATATTCTAAAAGATATAAAGGAAAAAGGTATTTATATTTAACTCGATTAAGGGCCCCCACCCCTCAAAAAAAAGGAATTTTCGACAAAAATATCGATTTTTAGATTTATACATAGTTAGATAGCCCATAATCTCTACTTTCGAATGCACTATAATTTATTGGTTTTATGATGGTTTTTGAGGGTTTTACAGCGGTTTTTCTGAAGACCCCTGCATCAATAAAGTTTTTTTTTTCGAGACTTCAGTTATTAAAGTTATTAGAACTTTTCTATACGTTTGGAAAAAAGTACGTCGTACATGTCTCTCTATGTGCTCATTCGATTCGCCATAGTCGATAACCTATAATAAACTGCCTTCTTGTTTATTCACTACCATTTTTAAACGAAAAAATCGGGATAATCAAAGAAAAAATTGTTTTGTGTTTTTCTCGAAACTGTTTTTTTTCGTTTTCTTTGACTGTGTGTCAAAGATCTCTCCGCCATTTTAAATGTTAGAATGCTCGGGAAGGTTTTAAAATGAAGGTAAATATCAGTGCTACAACCTAACAAAGCCAGAATTTTTGTTTTCAATTTATTTGTTTACAAAAAGCTCGAGTTTTCTAAAAAAATTGATCTAGGTTTTTCGAAAAAACTGTCTAAAAAAATTAATTTTTTTTTTCAAAAATCCGGCTTTGTTAGGTTGTAGGGGCAGGTCTTCTCTACATTTTGACACCATCCCGAGGTCCGTATCACTAAAATTGAAAACAAAATCTTTGACACACAGACACCTACTTTTGACCCTTGATGTTACAATAACTCGCGAAAAACTCAATAT